CCCCAGACTCTGGAGGCTTTTTTTAAGCCTCCGGGAAGGCAAAAACAGCCTCCCTGGATTGAGGTAAATCTTCTTATCAACTTTGATATCTCATAGGGCCACCATTTCATTGGACTATGTGAGGCAAAGTCTACTTTAAAACAGATTGGCAGAGGCCTTGTTTGCAATTTTAAAAGTGTCTGTGGGAATTCTCCATCATCCAGATCATACTTGTCCCAAAGGTGATTTTTTTCCAAAAGACAATTGGTCTTTTTCTTTCAAAACAATTCGCTCCTCATCCAAGAAGCAACCCAAGTGCTGACAATCAAATAACTGCAAAGATTATAAATCCTTCTTTCCCCCATCAGTCAGTTAGAACCGAGGAAGCTTCTTGGATGGGAAGCAAAATGTTTTCAAAGGAAAAAACCAAGATGGTATTAAGGTGGCTTCCGAGTTATCCCAAAGGGGCTTTTTCAAGAGGCGGCTGGATTTTCTGTTTTTTTCCTTTGAAGACGTTTCACTTCTCATTCAAGAAGCTTCTTCAGTTCTGAAAAGTGGAACCTTTTCAAAGAAAAAAAACAACCCAAGAAAATCCAGTTGGTTTGAGAAAAAAAAATACCTTCGGATAATTAAAAAAAGAGAATTTATTAAGGAATGGTGCAGACAGCATACCGGGAGAGAATAGATTTTAGAAATGCATTATGTTAAGAAAGATCTTCTCTTTTTTTTTTGCCAAAGTGGTGATCTGGAGAATGAGTGTGTGAACCTTCCTGGGAAAATGCAGTCAGGCTAGGCCAGATTTGAAAACGGACGGTGGGAAATGAACTTGACATTTGTAAAAATGGGCGATAGTTAAACCAGCGGATTCTCTCGTCCATCTTAGGTATGAAATGAGCAGGACAGAAGCTATCTTTCCCTTGACCTTTGTGTGAGATTCCCAGTGACGTAGGATGATATGAGAAGCAGGAGATTGACCTTGTGGGTTCTTGTTCGATGCTGCTTAGCCTTTTAAAAATATTATTACTGTGATAAGTCCAACTGCGTGGGCAGCTTTTGAGTTGATTATGCTGTGTGTGGATGCTGTTATGCTCTGCCTCCTAGCCTCTGATCAACGGGTGTCAAACTCAAGGCCCACGGGCCCACCCTGGAAACAGCAAAGGACCGGCCCGCAGTGCCTCTGCCAGTGAAAACGGAGTTCCATTTTTGCTGGCGGAGGTCTGCAGGAGGCCGCCGTAGTGGAAAATGAAGCTTGCGAGGGCCGCGGGTGGCACTTCCAATTCCGTTTTCACTCTCAGAGGCAGGGGTGGGCTGCAGGATGTTTGCAGGGGTTCGGGAGAACCTCTAGCTAAGATTCTGTGCAGTTCGGAGAATCCTCCAATCCCACTCCTGGCTGGCCCTGCCCTCCTTGCCCCTCCCCTCCCAGGAGTGCCCACACGGCCTGTTTTAGATGCAGATAAGTGCAGGGCAGGCACGGAGGCTCGGGCTTGAGTTTGGGAAAGCCAGAAACAGGCCCCTTTTCGGCCTCCACAGGGCCTCCGGAGCCTAGGGAGCCCATTTTCGCCCTCCTGGAGGTTCGAGAAAAGCTTCCGGAGCCCAGGGAGGGCAAAAACACCCTCCCTGCTGTAGTGCAGGAGGCCAACCAGGCCACGGCCATCATGGACATGCCCACCATGCGACGCCCACCCAGCAACCAGGTGGAGAACCCCTTGCTAAACTTTTTGAAGCCCACCCCTGCTCAGAGGTTGCAGGTGGCCGTCGCAGCTGAAAATGGAGCTTGCAAGCGCTGCGGATGGCACTCCCAAGTTCCGTTTTCACTGGCAGAGGATTGCAGGAGGCTGTTGCAGCCGAAATGGAGCTTATGGGCCCATTTTCACAGCAGAGTGCTCAGGCCACCACAGGTGCCCCCAACATGAGTGCTGTCGAGCTGGCCACGCCCATCTAGCCCCCCTGAGGTCAAACGCAACCCTGATGCAGCCCTCAATGAAATTGAGTTTGACACTCCTGCTCTAATCCATGGAAAATTCAGATCTCAGAAATGACTAGGCAACTGTTTAGACATGACTATTTTAGGCGACGCATCCCAGCCAGTGGTACTTTCCCCCTTGGAGAAAATATGTGCCTTATCCCACACAGTACTTCAGACTAATTTGGTGCCAGGGTTCAGCCCACCACTTAATCAATCAGGCTTTGCAGGAGAATGGAATGGGGTCCCACGTACAGAGGACAAGTTATTTTAAGCCAGGCAGGCAGCAGCGTAATGTGGGACGTGCCAACCGGATGTGCTCCAGAAGTTCAAATTGAAGTTGAACTCCCATTATCCCTGTCCTAAAAGCATGCTAAGCATGGATAAAGGCTGCTGTAGTACAATTGAGCAGGTGCCACAATGAATGCCCTTGCTCTTGCTGTCAGCAAACCCAATAAAATGTAAAATGACGCAGAATCCCTGATGCAGAAATAGTAGAAAATATAAGCATAGGTAGTCCTTGACTTACAAACGCTCATTCAGTGACTGTTCAAAATTATGACCAGCCTCGCCCAAAGTTACGGCTGTGCAGTGCCCCCATGGTCACTGAATGTCAGGGTAAAGATTTAAGAGCTGACCAGCTGCTACAATGATGTAATGCTGGGAATGAGTCAGCAAGATTTTTTGGGCTGAGATCACTTTAAGAGCCTGTAATAAGAAGAGGCCCTGTTAGGGTGTATCTCTCTCTCCATGTGTGCTTCTGTGCTATAATTGCTGTTTGTTTGAGGTCTGACTAAAGAACGTGTATGTATATATTCTGTGTAGGTAATAAAACCAAGGGTGGGATTCAGCCGGTTCGGACCGGTAGGCGTGAACTGGATGCTAATTTTACATCTGGTTCGCCGAACCGGTAGTTGCAAGGACTGGCTGGCCCCGCCCACCTCTTCCATCCACACAGTCTGTTTTGGATGCCAGGTAGGTACAGGACCCACATGGAGGCTCTGGGAGGATGAAAAATGGGCCTCCTGGTAGTTCTGGAAGTCCAAAATGGGCCCGTTTCCAGCTTCCCATAGGCTCAAGGAAAGCCTCCGGAGCCGGGGGATGGTGAAAATGCCCCCCATCCCACCGTGGTGCAGGAAGCCAAGTAGGTTATGCTCACCATAGCTATGCCCACCCAGCAACCAGGCAGAGAACTGGTTGCTAAAATATTTGGATCCCACCCTTGAATAAAACCACTATTTCTTACAAACCTGTTTGCTGTATTTGCGCCTGGGTTGTCTCACATAGTCACACTGTGCACACGCTGATACGGAACAACATTTGAATGTTTTTGGCAATCCTACAATTGATCAGGGTGGGGGCTGGCGAGGAGGGTGAGAGACCCAGTTTGCGTTCAAGGAATGGTGTCAAAATCTTAATGGCATCGGCAGGTGGAGATGGAGGGGACCAACCAAAACAGGAAGCCTGAGGTTGTCTGCCCTTAGTAAAGTAGGCATTTTCTCGCTGCGCCTGGAAGATGTTGTTTCGTGCTTGCCTTGGCCTCTGTTCTTGTACTTCCAGCAGCCTGTCCTTCCCCGTGTTTACCCAGAGAAGTTCTGCAAAAACAAATCATCTGGAGTTGGCCTACATCATAAACTCCTTCTCTTCAAGGCCACAGACTTGGAGGCCAAGCCTTCCTGTCTGTAAACTTTATTTACATAAAGAGTCTAAATCATCGAGAGTCTGGACTGCGGGTGATTTGAATAAATTCTCTGCTGAGAACTTGTAGCAATCCGTGTCTTAAAACTTCTCTTTGGCAAGTCGAACGATGCTCTCAAGGTTCTGATTAGGAACCGTGTGTAGTGGCCAATTCAGTCTGTTGTTGATTTTTTTTCTTCTTTTTAAGCGGGGAACTCCAAACGCCATTCTCCCATCTGTTCCCTTCCTTTGCGCTTATATTTTTAACCAGCTCTTTTATTTGGGAGGTAAAAGGAAGATGAACCAGTCAGAGCCTGAGATGCGGAGGGAAATATGCTTCTTTTGTTAATTCATCAACTTTAGATTCCTTTAATCCAAATGGTAAGAAAAGAAAGAGCCGTTGCCCTGTCAGCTGGCCAGCGCATATGCGCATGCTGGCCAGCTGACTTCAGCCTTCTTCTGAGGCCATTTTCCACCCTTCAGAGGCTGAAGCCTCCAAACCACAAAAAACTGGCCCTACGGGCAAATTGAAAGTTCGGGAATGTACTTCCGGGTTGCTTGTAGGGCCGGTTTTAGCCCTCCGGAGCCTTCAGGGGGCTTCCCTGAAGGCTCCAGAGGGCTAAAACCGGCCCTACGAGCAACCGAGACTCGTAGGGTTGTTTTTTGCCCTCTGGAGCCTCCTGAAGGCTCCGGAGGGCTAAAACCGACCTTACAAGCACAATGGAAGTACATTCCCGAACTTCCGGTTTGCCCGTAGGGCTGATTTTTCACTTCAATCCTCCAGAGAACGAAAAATGGCCTCAGAAAAAGGCCAAAATCAGCTGTCCAGAGTGCGCGTGCACACTGGCCAGCTGACAGGGCAACGCCTCACACGCTCTGACAAATGGCTACGCGTGCCACTTGTGGCACGCGTGCCATAGGTTCGCCATCACGGTTCTATATTATACTATATAATATCGTATAAGTATTGTACTATTCGCTATAGGCCTCCTTTAAAGACTGGGGAGGGCAAAAAAAGCACACCAAAAATGGGGTGGGGCGCGCTGGTCATGCGCACATGCGCTCTGGGGTCGTGTGTATAGCATTATGGGTGTGGCACACCTGCACACAACCCCCATTTGGCACATGAGCCACAAAAGGTTCACCATCACTGCCCTACACCACTTCAGACAAATGGTTGTCCAACATCTTCTTAAAAACNAGCAGGGCTCCGGTGTTTGAGGGCTGCCAGAAAGAGGACGGGCTCCACCTCTTCTCCAAGGCCCCAGAAGGCAGGACAAGAAGCAGCGGATGGAAACTAAACAAGGGGAAAAGAAACTGGGAAACGGAGAGAGAGAGGACAATTAACCAGTGCCTGGTTTGTCTTTGCTGCTTCTTCCTTCTCTCTCCCACCCTCAACAGCTTCGTGACCCAAGGAGTGAGGAAGGATGGGCAAACTGGGAGACGGCGCCACCCCCATGCACAGTGAGCACCTGCCTTTGCTGGCCAAAGCGGCCCCCAGCGCCACCTACCTGAGCCAGCAGGAAGTGGCCGAGCAGGGCAGTGCTGCCCCCTGGCCCGGACTCCGCAGAGCCCTGATCAGCCTGCTGGCCGGCCTCTTCGCCTGCATGCTCCTTCTGGCCGTGGCCCTGCTCCTCTCCCTGCCCCGGCCTCGCCCAGCCCTGGGCTGGTGGCAAAAGGCTGCCTTCTACCACCTGCCCCCGTCCTCCTTCCTGGACTCGGATGGCGATGGGTGGGGGGACCTGGCAGGTAAGGACAGGAAGAGGTGAGTGCTGGGCAAATTGGTCCCCGGGCCGTTGGTTCCCCCTCAATGCCCGCTTCCCTCCATGCAGGCGTCAGGCAGCAGCTGGACCAGCTGGCAACCCTGCCCATCCAGGCCTTGGTGTTGGGCTCTATCCTTGAAGGCGGAGGGGCCAACCTGACCCAGATCGTCCCTGCCCGTGGATCGCTGGCACAGCTGCAAGCTCTGCTGACTGACGGGCACAAGAGAGGTACTGGGCAGAACTGCCGGGTGGGGCCGAACCCCCCCCTGCCCCTTTGCTTCCAGTCTCCCCCCATCCAAGGGGCTTTGAGGGGCCGGTCAATTGCTGTGGTGGGCCCGGTGCCCTGAAAGTGGGGCCAGGCTGCTCAATAGCCAGAAGGGGTCTGTGATGACCCTTGCGTGGTGTCTAGCCTGGGCAGCTCGAGTGGTTAAAAAATGGACAGTCCCAGAGAAACGGCATCTCTGGACAAATCAGGCCCATGCCGGACACCTGATAATATCTGGGGGGTGAAGAACCCACCGGGAGTTTCTCTCCTCTAGATATTCCCACAGCCAAAGTCCATTGAACTGATGCTGCCTGGGGGATTCTGGGAGTTGAGTTTGAGTTTCATTTTATTTATATGCCGCCCTATTCCCGGGGGGACTCAGGGCAGCGCACAAACCTGAAGGAGGGGAAGGGAAAAGCACAAAAACTACAAAAAGTACAGGGCATTTAAAAACAACCAACAGCCACATGACTCGAGAGTGGAAGAGAACTCATCGACCACAGGCCTGCCGACACAGCCAGGTTTTGACGGCTTTTCGGAAGGCCTGGAGAGAGGTGAGGGTCCGAATCTCTGCGGGGAG